AGAAGAATTGATAGTGTCCCTTTGCGACAAAATGTCTCGTCACTGACTTGTTTGATAGAAGAACGCGGTTTGTTTAGTTTCGATGAAGCAACTTCCATAAATCACATTGTTGACTCAAAACAATTTCTCTCAATTTAGCATGAGCGTTTACTTTCCACAAGATGATTAATCCTCTTCATCAGACATCTGTAAACATCACAATGTCCAAACAAATGCTTTTAGCATTAAATTATCGCTATATTAGCAAAGAAATTCGCAATTATATCGTGAGTCATTCATTTTTATAATGTTTTTATCAAATAAAATTCTGCTGAATTCCTTCTCAAAGTTTTTCCGAATACGGGTACTGTTGTAACAGACAAGAGAAAATGCGACACATAGATCCGAAATGCGCTTTGGAATGGCGAAAGATGTCTTCCAGAAACTAAGCAATATATTAAGAAATAGAAAAAATATCGTTGCAAAACAAAGAAAACTGTACAGCATTCTTATATGATAACTATCTTTCGATATGACAGAGGATGATGGGCAATCTTCTTCCAGACGAAAAAGAGACTTGAAGCGACGGAGTTTTGGTTCTCCAGACAAATACGGAGAATACCATTGACTGACAATATGAACAACGAGGAAGTTTTAAGGAAAATGAAAACTGAAAGAACATTCATACTTAAAGCCAGAAAGAAACAGCTGAAATTCCTGGGATATTTGATCCAGAAAGAGGGCCCAAAGAATTTAGCACTCATGGGAATATTAAAAGCAGAACGAGCTGATGGTGGCAGCGAATGGTGGCTTACTTGACGAGTTTGTGTAAATGGATGGGCAGGGTGGGGACAAAAAACGATGGTAAAGAGGCAAGCATTGCTTAATGTTGAGAGGGACAGACATTTGTGGGGAAGCATTATTGACAGCAGTCCAGAAGCGACTTGGTGTATAAAATGATCTCTGACAGAGGTCAATTACGAAATCCAACTTCAAACGTCGACTTTATAATAGAGAACTTAGGCAATAAAACAATTTATGGGTTGATTTATAGCTTCAACTGAAGTCTTAACATTGTTGTCGCACTAAAAGTATCATGGCGAATAAACTCGTTGTTGTCGCCTTGTTTTGGGGGAGGAAGTTGTGAAATTTTTGCTTGGTAATTAGCTACCAAATAACACAAAAACGTCCAAGAATGGATGGCAGAATGAAGCATTATTTAGAAGATATAACACCGACTGAGTAGAAACAACGTCCAACCAAACCCTGCAGTGTTTGCGCAAAGAAACAGAACAAAATAAACACTGTGCTTTTCTTTAAGAGCTGTAAGTTGATTTTGTTTAGCGGCATATCAACACCTCTATGGGTTATATATTGCCAACATCCACATATTTTATACGTAATTTATGCTTTCAATTACAGATATTTTGTCCATAATTTTATACTTTTACCGTAAAGTTTTTTTTTTATATATTCCAGATGATGAAATAGAAAAAAAAAATATTCTTATATTTTTTAATGTTGTAGTGATTGTTATTTTACAATAAAAATCTATTATTTCTCGTTTTATTAGAAAATTAAGTTTAATAAATAAATGAAAAAATTATTAAAAATTATTATTAAAAAATTTATTTAAAAATTAAAAACATTATTAATAAAATTAAAATTTAAAATTATTAAAAAATTTATTTAAAATTAAAATTTATTAATAAAATTAAAATTTAAAATTAATAAAAAAAATTATTTAAAAATTAAAATTTATTAATAAAATTAAAATTTAAAATTTTAAAAAATTATTTAAAAATTAAAAATTTATTAATAAAATTAAAATTTAAAATTATTAAAAAATTTATTTAAAAATTTATTAATAAAATTAAAATTTAAAATTAAAACGAAAAAAATATTAAAAAATTTAAAATTTATTAATAAAATTAAAATTTTAAATTATTAAAAATTATTTAAAAATTAAAAATTTATTAATAAAATTAAAATTTAAAATTAGAAAAAAAATTATTTAAAAATTAAATATTTATTAATAAAATTAAAATTTAAAATTATTAAAAAATTTATTTAAAAATTAAAAATTTATTAATAAAATTAAAATGTAAAATTATTAAAAAAATTATTTAAAAATTAAAAATTCATTAATAAAATTAAAATTTATTACAAAAATATACTGTTGAATTTTGTTTGGAGGTGGGGAGGGTCACTATTCTCTTATAGCTAACATAATTTATTTCTGGTCATTTTACTATAAAATGTATTGCTGGTCATTCTGCTATAAGAATGTATTGTTACTAATTTTTTTTATATAAAAACGTATTGCTGGCAGTTTTAATATAAAAATGTATTTTTTATACTTTCCTAGTGTTTTGATTTTTGTTTCGTGGAGAGGGGGCACTATTTGCCCATAGCTAGGATCCTAACAAATGCTACCATCCCGGAACAGGGTGGTCCTGGGAACAACAAAAACTAAGAGCTCTATAAAACACCCAACCTTCGGACGAACTTTTTTTAAAAAGACAAACCACCTCTCTGCATTGTTAAATCTTTCAAAAAATATTGTTCGAGCACCTAGTTTGGGTACTGGACACTAATTTTAAATGTTTCGATTATGAGCTATATCTTACTCATATGTTACATACAAAAACACAGGACAATAAGTTGCAAAGCAATTAACAAGTCAACTTACAACGAATAGAAGAGGGTCATATGCTGTATAACCAAAAGAAGTAAGATCAGCTTAGTAGCAACTTATTAACCAACTGAAGTCTTTAATCGTGAACTATTTAAGGCTATGAGCCAGGACATCTGGTAGAGAGCTGATGGGATGCTAGCTACTCTACAACACTTTCATATTAACTGTTTCTCTGAACTTTTCTCTATGGTACCTAGATTCTATGAATCTAAACGCATTGCTAGACTGAGAGAAATCTACTCTCTTTTGTTCACAGGGTGAATGAAGTTATAAAGCAATCGATGACCGATTCCTGTTCACAGTCCGATAATGAATATTTATTAAACTGTGACAAGAGAAGTAGTACACTTATTTTTAGCGATGTTTCCATAGTTCACTAGTTTGTAGAGAGACGTGTAACTTTGTAAGTCATATTGTTTTTTAAGTATTGTAAAGAAGTGTATGAGAGCTTTCAAAGTTAAAGAATTCAACATTCTGAAAAGGAACATGTTCAAAAAATATTTCTGTTGCTTCAGTTTTCTTCTTCATCTACTAAATAGTTCAGCGCTATTTTCTTGTTTCCATCAACATTTGTTTCTTAATATTTGTTGTATCGTTGAGATGAATGATAAACAGAGAAGAATGAGTGCTTAATAGATTTATTCAGCACCAGTATCCGGTGCTAACGGATACATACAAAAAACACAAACAATAAGTTAGAAAACAATTAACAAGACAACTTACAAAGAATAGAGGAGGGCCAAATTCTGTATAGCCAAACGAAGTAACATCAGTACGGTTATTAATCAGCTTAGTAGCAACTTATTAATCAACTGCTGAAGTCCTTAATTGTAGGCCATCTGGTAGAGTGCTGAAGTAGTGCTAGCTAATCTACAACAATCTTTAATAAATTTCTCCCATATAAAATTTCTTTTTATTTGTCAGTAAGAGTTTTCATTCGTACCTTAGTCACCAGATAGCAGATATTTGCGTTAAAAACAACGAAAAGAATAGTGATTGTAAACCCACATGGCAAAACCACAGAAAGTAGATCACTCATGATCAGCATCATTATAAAAAAATGTCAGCCACGAGTTGACAGTAAATGCAATTCAAACCCTGTAACTCTCTCCAGTTATTATGGGAGTTTTAATGCTTCGAGAGGCTCAATACCACTGCATTTCACAAGTGAAACATATATACGATCCCTCGCTAAAATGTTGGAAATTCTTCGCTTCTTTATCTTGCTCGAGATCGTTCTCAACTCCTCCTCGTATGCTTTATCTTTACAAGAGTCAGATCAAGACAAAAAAAAGGTATTATTGCTGTAATATCTGCACAGGAGCTTGCCAATATTCTCTTTCCAGTTATGACAGAATTTAAAAAGCGTCTACGCGGCTTTGTGGGCTGTAAATTATTTTCCAACCTATCGCTGCTTTCCCACAGACGTAACGGTCCAAGCCACTCGCTACCCTATCGTTAAAGCCATGGACGATGTTCTGGCGAGCTACATTTCATCAATCCGCCCTCATCTCAGTCTTCTTTTTCACTTTCACTTTTACTTTCACTTTCACTCCCTGTAACCCCCTCTGCCTACTAGTAGCATTCCCGCCTTACATGGGGTGAAATGAAGTAGACTTTTCCTGTATATTAATAGCTTGTTTAAATTTTAGTATGCATGTTTTTGTTACCCCAAAACCTTTTCAGATTACTGTATAATGTACATAGTCTGTATCTGCTTGATTCTAAGACTCTAGTTCATAGCTTGAATCTTGGTTTTCCTCTCGTTAACGACCATACATCATTGTTTTCTTACAGCGTGTGGTTAGTTCTTTCTTCTCGCTTTTCTTATTGCTATATGTCGTCTGATGTTTCTCGTATGTATCTTCAGATTCTGGAGAAAACCCAAGGAAGAATCTGCAGTGATATTAGTCCTGACCTGGCATCTCTGCTTCAATCATTTTTCATAATGCCGTAACGTAGCTTTCCGGTGTCTTTTTCTATAAATCTTTCCATAGTAATTGTTCTAATGAACTTTCCTCGTTGATACATTGAAGCACTTCTCGCTTGGGAAATTCTGTTCCGTCTTCTTGCTTTTCTTTCAGATCAGTCAGTCAGTTATGTGCCGTGCGTGATACACGCGTAAGCGATCGTGTCCCTTTCGATACATAACTGACGAGGCAGATTTTTCCCCCGCAGTAGGTAGCCATTTCTTTCTGCGGTAGTACCCGGTCTGTCCTGCTGGGGAAGAAGAGGAGGATTCATACATTTTCCAAGATTATTAGCACGTAAGTGAATGTAATGGATTCGACTGGAATTCGAACTCGGCTCTCTGATTTCTCAG